ATGTTTGAGATGACTAACTTTTTTTGAGAGTCTCTTGACACGTTCTTTCATTGTTTTCAATTTTCCTTGAACTACTTTCTTGGATAATCCTACTGCCTTCAAATTGATTGCCATTTTATGAGGGGTTGTGCTGAAATCAAAATTTTTCATTGGAGTATTTGAAGTTATTGACTTTCAGAAAAAATCTATAAAATCATTTCTGAAATATTGTTTTTTTTTCGAAAATTTAGGAAAACATTTCTATTACATTTTTCACAATGCTTGAAAGGAACATTATTGGTATCATACCAGAATATGGTGATTATTTTTCAAATTCCAATATTCAGATTCATCACAATTACAAAAAATTCAAAATTTCTTGAATTGGAATCTGATGGTGCTCATTTTGAGAAAATAATATTTAACATTTATTTACCTGTATGTATGTATTATTTTTATATCTCTTCTAATTTTCTTGGGTGTTCCTTTGAATCCTTCACTATCACTGGATGATGACTCCAATTTCCTTTTTTTATGCAATAAATCATATTGGCCAGATTCAGATGATGGTTCTGAGGGAGGTGAAATATTTCCAGTACTCTTTGGTAAGCTTGATGAACTCCTATTACAAAATTATAGTCAATATACATACACCCTCAGTTGAGATATTGATAACTAAATAAATAAAGAAATAAGAATTATCATATAGTACTATGGATGTGATTGACATACTTATGAATGTTTTCACTTATTTCACTTTTGCAGTATCTGATATTGACTGAACTGTTATTTGAATATTATTAATATTAAAATATTTGATCTGTATAGGTGTATCATTGTATTTGATATTATTGTAACACAATTGAATACACAAACAGTATGTATATCATAAGGGCTTCAGAAGAAAGCATAGGTGCATGTACTATGAAATATGTACCTACCAAATGAAAATCATCAACATCAGAGTAAACATTGCATATCAATGATTACTGTAGTTAATTCACATTAATACCATAGAGTATCCCAATGATATACAACAAAGTCTGCAATATAATTATATGTATGCACCCTACTCATATATGAGATATTCAGAAAATTATTTTACATAAATGACACATAATATATCTGGCATGGTTATGTTGCAAAGTAAATCGATGGAAAAATTAGACATACCTGCTCTGATTATCCACATTCTCCTTCTCTGCAGAACAATCTACTAACTCCTTGACTAACTCTGAAGATGAGCTAGCAATGTCTTTCATAGGATTCGAAATAACATGATCAACACTCTCTTCAAGCTTACTTCCTCCACTCTGAGAGATACTTGAACAACTGTGATAAGAATAGAAATTAGATGTGAATTCACTAAGAGTTAGGTATATTACAGACAATAATTATATTTTTCATAATTAAGTACTTCTGTTGGAATCCACCGTTTTTTTTTTAATCAATTTATAAATGTGAGATTCTTTTAGAGGTCTTAGAAATGAATAAACTGTTTTTTTTTGAGGATTTAGTAAAAATCGGTAAAAATAAACTCTACATTTTCAGTGGACATCATATCCATTTTCATTGTATATAAACTACTATCATTCTTACCTCAGTGACAGATTAGGCAAAGCTGACAAGGGCTTTCGAGGACCCAAATTCAATGTAGGAATCGTATTAGGTTTCAAGCTCTTTTTGTTATTGGAATATGTGAAATCTTCATTGGAGAAATGTTCTTCACATATACAGTTGGCCTGGCTAAGTTTCTCAACTTTAGGATCTCTACCCAGTGCCTGCATCCATGAGGAATATCTCTTTTGAGTCAAGCTGAAAACACAAAGAATATAATGTTTTTCTAAAACCTATCTATATTCATATATACTAAGGTAAAGCTGGATTTATAGATTCAACTGAACTGAGAATTAAACTAACAACTGTGAACTCAGGTCAGTTATATTAAGAATTACAAAGTTGGCCAACTTTCAACTCAACAACTGAGAATTAGGAGATTCTGGAGACATAACATGAAGATTGGATTCATATTATTGTTCAAGTGGAGTTTGGTGTGATATTTTTTCTTATGGATTCATGAATTGTGGGGACCAAAATCACTTGTTAACATCATTTTGATTTTTAATCCCAAATTATTTCAGATATGTATAAACACCCTTATGATTATTAATTGTTGATTGTTAATTCCTAATTGTAGTTCTGAAAAATTGTTGTTCTTATTATCAGCTGTATACTGGTATGAATTCACATCTATTATACTAGTACATTGGAGTTTGTTTGATAACTTACTTGAAATAGGATAAACCTTGTTTTCTTTTCCGATTTCGGCACAAGAACACCATGCATCCCTGGACCATATTGTCTAATAATAGTCTTCAAAATGATAAGTCACCAAAATCACGATCACAACTCAAAAATATAAACGAAACTAACGAAACAAACAAACAAACAATAATAAAGGTGTGGCAGATGATGGGCACAAAAATATTCAAGCCTCTCCTGATGGGATCACACCTAATCAACGACATACGTCTGCGGTTGTAAGCAATTTCAATAATCACGGACATTCTTTTCATATCTTGGTTCTACTGCGCCGACGCAGAACCTTAAGGTCAAGATCTCCTGGGAGGCGTAAAATTTTCACGCGCAGGTGGCCGCATCAGCATTCCATTTGTAGGGTATAGTTCAGTGGTTTGAAACCGCAATATTTTGGATTTCCAATATTAAACCATGAAAGTGTATATTGATGTGAATTCATTTTCATTGCATCAAATGTTTTTGCCTGTATAGTGCACACCTGTGTGTATTAATGCATTTCAAAAGAGAGCTGTAACAAAAACAGCCCTTACAAAACAGCACATATCATAATGGCATGTTATAGAAAATATATAGATAGTCTCCTTCCTCATGCATTATGATTTGTCACCAATATTCTACAATATTTAATTCAGTTGCAGATATTTGATATTTTGGTCTGATTTTATTTAGAAATATGAATATTCTCAGATAAATCATCATGAACATGAAAAAATGAATTCTGAACCACCCTGTATTTATTTCTATTGAATATCAATTGATAGTACATGAAAAGTTGAGATAGGGACATGAAAACCGTTTTGATCAATTATGAATAGTTTCCAAACAAAAAAATTCTTAAACTTGAAAATTTTCGATTTTTCACACCCTATATCTTTGTTATCAATCCCGCTAGAACCCATGTGTGATAGATCGATAGAATCAGCTCTTCAGGGAGAATCTGAAAATGGAATGATTTACAGGGTGTCCCATTTAAAATATCAAAGTTGCTGCTACTTTTCAATACAAACGGCAACGTCGCAACGCTGAGAATATTTTAGGTCAATAGACCACAACTGATTATCCAAGGCACCAACTTTTCAGAATGATCCTGAGTTGCGTTCTCCAGAAACGTCTAATGTGCCATCCACCGTGAATCACCCTGTATATACAGGGTATGTCATGACGAGCTTACTCTCTATATTGAGAATCAGTCGGGAGAAATCCATGAAAACATGCATGCTCATTGCTCATATTTCAGAATACACTCTCTTCATTTGAAATATTTCAGCAATGCAGTGTTGCCGCTTCCACTAGAAACTAGTAGCATCATTGATATTTCAAACGAAACACCCTGTATTTTATCATATATACACACTTGGGTTCTATTGAAAAAAATTGCAGAGATATAGGTTGTTCAAAATCGAGATTATTATTGGTCAAAACGTCTCACCTGTCCCAATCTCAACTTTTGATTCACTATTCACTGATATTTAATCGGAACAGATACAGAGTGGTTCAAGATTCAGATTTCTGAAAAGTTGAAAGTTGAAAATTCTTCCCATATTTTATTTATTTATTCATTTATTCCTTGAACAAATAACTTCCAGGCAGAATAGGCTCTGGTATAAGGAAGTACATTTATTTATATACCTATAGGAACATTTTATCATTCAAAATATATCAACAACTTTGAATTGGCGAACAAAGAATAATATTTGTAGAAAAAACATAGTAAAATGATGGCGAACGAAGAGAAGCTGCCTCCCGACCTAGCCACGCCCCTATATCTAGCCACACCTCCCGACCTGACCACGCTCCCAGTAAAATGATGGCGAACTTATGAATGACACTGTAAATCCGGAAAAAAAGTGACATTTTACAACCTGTCAACAGAGATAAAATGTCAAACATTTTTCCAAACCTTCGAACATTCCCCCTTTCTCAGGTGATGGCCGAGGAAGCGCTCGAAGTGAAGCTGCCCCCCGACCTAGCCACACCTCCTCACCTGACCACGCCCCCAGTAAAATGATGGCGAACTTATAAATGACACTGTAAATCAGGGAAAAAAGTGACATTTTTCAGTAGCGCTCGAAAAGAAGCTGCCCCCCGACCTTACCACGCCCCCAGACCTAGCCACACCTCTCCACCTGACCACGTCCCCAGTAAAATGATGGCAAACTTATGAATGACACTGTAAATCCGGGAAAAAAGTGACATTTAACAACCTGTCAACAGAGATGAAATACCAAACTTTTTTCCAACCCTTAGAACATTCCCTCTTTCTCAGGTGAGGGCCGAGGTAGCGCTCGAAGAGAAGCTGCCCCCCGACCTAGCCACGCCTCCCCACTTGCCCACGCCACCAGTAAAATGATGACGAACTTATGAATGACACTGTAAATCAGGGAAAAAAGTTACATTTTACAACCTGTCAACAGAGATGAGATGTCAAACTTTTTTCCTAACCTCCGAACATTCCCTCTTTCTCAGGTGATGGCCGAGGTAGCGCTCGAAGAGAAGCTGCCCCCCGACCTAGCCACGCCCCCGACCTTGCCACGCCCACCGACCTGATCACGCCTCCCGACCTGATCACGCTCCCAGTAAAATGATGGCGACCTAGTGAATGACATTGTATATCCGGGAAAGAAAATGATTTATAAAAAGTGACATTTTACAACCTGTCAGCAGATAAAATGTCGAACTTTTTTCCTAACCTTTCTCAGGTAATGGCCGAGGTAGCGCTGGAAGAGAAGCTGCCCTCCGACCTAGCCACGCCCCCAGATCTAGCCACGCCTCCTGACCTATCCACGCCTCCCGACATGACCACGCCCCCAGTAAAAGATGGCGACCTAGTGAATGACACTGTATATCCGGGAAAAAAATTATTTATAAAAAGTGACATTTTACAACCTGTCAACAGAGATGAAATGTCAAACTTTTTCCAAAACCTTCGAACATTCCCTTTTTCTCAGGTGATGGCCGAGGTAGCGCTCGAAGAGAAGCTGCCTCCCGACCTAGCCACGCCCCCAGACCTAGCCACGCCCTCCGAGGAGCCCCGCCCCCCTACCGACGAGCTGCCGTGGTGCGTGCTGTGCAACGCCGACGCCGCCTACCGGTGTCTCGGCTGCGACGGCGATTTGTACTGCGCCGCCTGCAATAAAGAGGCGCACGACAATTGGGCGGAGGAGGGGCATAGGGCGGTGCCCTACAAGGCCGGCCGATGAGCTGTGTGCTCTTGTTAAGCAGGGAGTGGTTTCGAGTGTTGAAAGCCTTGGGCGGATGCCTTTCATTGATATGCTGTATACGGTGTCATTATGCATAAGGTCCGCATCATAATATGAGAAGAAGTTTTAATGAAAATTTCACACCAAACATTTTCGATCAATTTAGAGCCTGTATTTCGGATTGTTAACATAGCAACTGAACAAATTTCTTGAAAATTTTTTCCCCTTTGGGGAACGGAAATTTTTTGAAGTTTATAGGTTAAGTGACATTTACATTCAACTTCAGATTATGTCAAGCTCATTCGATAAATAAAAATCATTCATCAACAGTTCACCATTCAATATTATGTAGATATACTTGCAATATACAGGGTGTTCCTTAATGACATGGTAATATTCAAGGGGGCGATTCTTGAGATACAGGGTATCAAAGTTGAACATAATATACATAGATTCTTTTTTGTCCACCCTGTATAGCTTCTCCTGATGGCAAAATGTATTCTGAAATGTGACTGAAACGGTGCAAAAATTTCAAAATGGTACATACTGTGGTTATCCAGTAATGGATGTCCTGAATGGAGTACTCAAGCTTAGCATTTACATCAAAATTTGAAGTTTGATCTCGTTTTTTCGTTTTTTCTCGAAAAAGGAGCGTCCTATCGGGTATCAACAAGAGGTACAAAATTTAATGACTCTTTATAGTATTTCATTAAATTTTGAAGTATTCCATCGTTGCTCACTTTCAAGTATAATATAATCAATTATATTTCCCTAACGGCGCCACTGGTAGAGAAAATGAAAATTTGAAAACTTAAAAAAATGCACCTTGACGCATAAAAGATATGTACCAAATTTCATGAAGATGACTACAATATTATTTCAGTTATCATTAAAAAACTGATTTTTTTCAAAACTATCTCACTGTATCTCAAAAGTTGAGACTTATAGATAGGACATACGTTAGTGGGAAGTTTTTTTTTGAATGCGTTGAAGAATTACTCCCTTGAATATTAGCATGTCTTTAAGGAATGTCTGTATTATATTTCAGTGTGAAAATTTCTTACCGAATACCACTTTAGCTTCAATTAATATCCGGGAATTTTTTCTCCAACAGGAACATTTATAAAATTCGTGTTCTCGAAAAAATTTCCGGTAATAATTTAAGCTCTTATTGTGGTATTATAAGTGAAAATTCTTTTCGAAATTCGACTTGGGCGTTAAATTTTGCTTTACAGATTATGAAAAATGGAATTCTCGGTCGAAGACATGTATTTTGCTATATGTCTTATGTGACTGTTTGTCAAATTAATCGCTGAAATTATATATAGGCTTATTAGTTCAGAAAAATTCAATGAGGAAAGTTCTTTCAGCGATATTTTTGAAAAAACGTAACTTTTTGACGTGACTCCGACCGACTAGGGCATTTTGATCCATTTTTTTGTAGCAAGACTTGATGGGTCGAATCTTGAAATAAATTATTGATGAAAGTAATTCCCATATGATGCCGACTTTATGAATAACACTGTATGTAGAATGATAGGCAGTGTTAGTTATCCAAAAATAATACCAGAGAAGAAATAAAAAGTGATTCACTATTGCCAGGGGCTCATGAAGTTTTTTTTTTGTTTTTGGCATTTTTCAATAAACTCCATGCATATGTATTCTGTCTTCCTAATTATGTTGATGAAGATGAAAAAATTTGAAAATATGATTCCTACAATTATTTCATTATTTGAATCTGTATTTCAAAAATCGTCTTGTTGGCTTATGTCTTATGTTGGATTATCTATGAAACTCTGTATATAAAACTGGTTATCGGTTTTTTGATCTTGTTTACCAATTTTGATGTAGGTGACTAATATATTTTTAAGCTAACTTGTTAACTATATAGGTAGGTACTACTGCTATAACTTCTACTCTCATTAGACATTATGATAATTATTCACGATTCTTCAATTTATTTGGTAAGCATTTTGTGATAAATTAACATTCTGAAATTATTTAACTGTTATGTTTTTCAATTAGTAATAAAAAACTGTTGGTCAAGATGAATCTTTCATTTTGGAGAAGAGTATTGGCGTAGATCTAAAGAGAACTAATACAAAATTTCGAGTGTAGGATCGCTGAAGTTCTCGCAATGATCTAAGTTTGTTGGCAATCAACTTATTTGAAGTCACTAAATTGTACTTTGTCGTAGTGCCTTCAAATTTGGTAAACATCAGGATCCTTAATGTATGCCATATCTCGGTAACCCATAGAGATAAGAACAAACAAACTTCAGATTCATGCTCAGCACATCGGGAACACCCTTAATGCAAGTTTTCAGCTCATTCGGACTTTTTGAAATTAATGAGAAAAGTTCGAAGGGGTTAAACTAGGTACTCTTATTGTTTATTTTTCATACCCAATAAATTAAAAGTAAAAAAAAAAACTTTTTAATAAAAAGCTTTCATTTAAACGCTCTAAAAAGAAGAAAATAAAATGTTTCTTAATAATTTTAACTATCAACTTATAACCTCATTATACACAATTTATATGATCATAAAAGTTTTTCGCGCGATTCACTTGTGTTCATGAACTAGTACTTATTTAATTATGTAAAATCTGCTGATACAATTGTTAAAATTACAATTTAATTAAATATTGATCATCGCGACAAGCTTTTATGATCATATAAATTGTGTATAATGAGGTTATAAGTTGATAGTTGAAATTATTAAGAAACATTTTATTTTCTTCTTTTAAGAGCGTTTAAATAAAAGCTTTTTATTAAAAAGTTTTTTTTACTTTTAATTTATTTTTTAATTTTTAGTTATTGCTAGCTGGATTTTTCGATTTACCCTTCCATTTGATACCCATATATTGTAGAAGTAGATTAAAAATGACCATTCCGCCATCTTGGATGGTTCGCCATATTGGATTTAGAATAACGTCACATTATTTTTCGAATTACTCTCAACGAGCCCTTCCATTTGATACCCATATTGTAGAAGTAGATTAAAAATGACCATTCCGCCATCTTGGATGGTCCGCCATAATGGATTTAGAATGACGTCACATCATTTTTCGAGTTACTCTCAACAAGCCTTTTCATTTGATACCCATATTGTAAAAGTATATCAAAAATAGCTATTCCGCCATCTTGGATGGTCCGCCATATTGGATTTAGAATAACGTCACATTATTTTTCGAATTACTCTCAACGAGCCTTTTCATTTGATACTCATATTGTAGAAGTGGATTAAAAATGACCATTCCGCCATCTTGGATAGTCCGCCATATTTGATTTATAATGACGTAACTTTTAAAATAGTGTTGAACTGGCTCAAAAGGCCTCTCCATATCCCCCCATCATAGGTACGCACGATGTTCCAACGAACATTATAGGAAATTCCGTTCGTGCGGTCCAAGAGATAAAAACAAATTATTGTTAAAAACATTCAGAAATAAATGATTTCTTCAATGTTTGATAGATTGAGGACCTTAAAGTTGAAATATAAAAATCTCAAATATACAGGGTGTTTCCTAACTACGGTTCCTAACTGCAGGGGGTGATTTGTTAGGTCATTTCAAGAAAAAAAGTTCCTATGAACATATGTCCGGAGTTGCTTCGTTTCTGAGATACAGGGCGTTGAACTTGAAGAAAAAAAAACGGCAATTATAATATATCATGAATATCCTGGAACCGATTTGGTTGGAATTTGGTACTTTTATTCGTCAAATTTTTCGAAATTTTCGCATATCAAGTGTCAATTATATTTTTGGCAGAAATAATGAAAAACTCATTTCTCCAATGCAGGTGTTCATGATATGCAATACAGTGGATTTAATGTTTTTTCTCGAAAACGAAGCTGGATATGAAGAAAATACAGGAGACCAAAAATTTGTATTTTGAGTTGCTTAGTCTAAAAAAAAAAAGAAAAATTCACCAAAAAATTCAGTGGCGTACTTTTTTTTAGAATATTGTTGGCTCTGGTGCCCACTGAGACGCCACTGGCCCCAATAATTTCAATCTGAATAGGGCTAAATAAGCGCCTTATTAGTTCAAATGTACTAAATTTCAACCAAATCGGTTCCAGGATATTCATGATATTTTGTAATTACCGTTTTTTTTCTTCAATTTCATCGCCCTGTATCTCAGAAACGAAGCAACTCCGGACATATGTTCATAGAAACTTTTCTTCTTAAAATGACCTAACAAATCACCACCGGCAGTTAGGGACCGTAGTTAGGAAACACCCTGTATATTATACATGCAGTGCGCGAAGTATGTACTTCGCGCACTGCTTCGCACATGATGGTGTCGTGGTGACGTAGGAAACTGAAAAAAAGTGTCACTTCGCGATTTATTGTTATCAATGCGCGAACCTTGTTGTTTCTTGACGTTTGTAGAAAAAGTCAATTTTTATCGTAGGGCCTTCAAATTTCGTATACAGGGTCCTCAAGAAATGAAAACTACTGAATTTTTGGCGGAACAGAATCGATTCACGAATCTTGCCTACGAAAATATTATATTCTTTGCCGTCATTTCAGCGATCTTTCAGACTTTTTTTCGATTGCAAATATCTCCATCGGGAACCATATAAAGATAAAACAGCCAGCACATCGAGAACACCCTGTATGTAAGTATGAAGAAAATTCAAAGGGTTAGTTAACCTTACTTTTTCAGACCCAAAATTCAACTTAGTTGTAGTGCCCTCAAATTTGGTATACAATAAAATCCTACAGGAATTTCCTATTGTAGATAAGAAAACATTTTCTACTCACTTTCCTCTCTGCGATTATCTAGATATTGACTACAGCTAGACTCCAGATTGTTTATTGTTAAGCCACATTGATATATCACTCTAGAAAATTATAGGCCAATAAGTCATTAGAAATTTATAACATATGATCTATCCCTAGAGATAATAATAGGGTCATTATCATTTTATCATCAATGAGTATATTTTGCAAATAGATTTTGGAATAAAGAACAGGTCTATGCAACAAGTCGCTTCTTTTTAATTTTGTCTCCTACTACAGTATCAGCATCTTTTTTTTTCTTACGCCCTTGTTTCGTCTCAGTCACAAATTCTTCCACTACTTTTTTCTTTTTTTTCTTCTTCCGCTCACCGTCCGTGACGACCTCCATATTTTCGAAAATATTTTCGTATTCTTCGTCGACCTTCTCGTCGTCCTGTTCCTCTTCTTTGGGTTCTTCTTTCACAATGGGTATCATCAACAGACGAGTCAAACTTTGTTTCATATAAACCTAGAATAAAATATATAGGAACATCAACGCATATAGAGAGAATATCCAAGGAATCGACGTTTCATTGGAGGGAAAATACAAACTGGAATTAAGTCACTTCTCAGTTTCTCACTCTTTTTCTTATTCCAAATAGTGCACTGTATTGGTAACGGTAAAGTGTGCGAGCAATGACGGCTTAATATATCAAGTAAGCTGCCGACTATGTCATGACTGCCCAATCACTAAGTTCAGTGTATGATTGCTGGGATGGCAGCACATACGGGTGATCTCAAAGATTTCATTTGTTTTGAGAATTTTTTCAAATTATTGGTTATGTATCTCATGAAATGTCAAAACATGTTGTCATTTGCCTTTCACTGCTGAGCTAATCTTGTAATTTCATTGATATTTCTTATTTTGCATTTTTTTTCGTATTATTATAATATTGGTTGGGATGAATGGGATGCAATCAATTTGTTTGGATTTCCCAGTGACATCAGTTTGTGAAAAGAATCGTTTTCTGCAATTTTGGAATGAATGGGTAAGAACAGTTCTGTAGATGTACCTCTGACCTATTTAAATTATATTGTTCATTTGACTCATTTATTTTAGCATTAGATCATTCTGAAGTTTGTGAATATTCTTGCATTTGCACAAATCATTTCCAGAAGAGCTGCATATTATGAGTTTTCCAGAATGGCAGGAAGTGCCTTATAAAAGGCTCTCTGTCCCTACAATATTTGAGGTATGTAACACTATTATTTCCTAGTGTTGAGAACAAATATAGTATACCCAACTGAAAGGAGGTATTGTAGTTTTTGATTCTCCTACTTTTATCTTTGCTCTCTATACAGTGTGAACCTCAGTCCAATATAAATCAATGTGCATTGATTCAATCTCTAATTATCTACAATTACATCTTCAAATTTTAAATGTGTTCTCACCATCACTAGTTTCAGTATCTATGAATCAGCAGATGCATTGCATTGTTGCAGTTGATTTATGCTCAAGCCAAAATACTCATGTCATAGATTATCATGTTTATGAATTGATAATCTGTTGGCAATAGTATTTGTGAAAAAAAATAAAAGGAAGTTTTGTTTGTAAACCCTGCACTCGACCCTGCATTATTGTCTTGAAATTATCAACAATGTTGCTAATTTGTTGTGAAACATAAAATATTGATGTTTAAAATAAGTTTTAGCAACCTGCAGATTCCTGGATGATGCCCACTACATCCACTGGAAAAACATTCTAAACTACAGATTGGGCGTTCTCAAATGTAAGTACCTAACACCTATAGTGACTTCCAGATTAATAGTTTTCATGAACATAATTCAACTCTTAACCAATCTGAGCAAGTCTAGTTTACAAAAAAATCCAGGGATCATTCTGATTCTTTTTCTCACTGAATACTGTACTCACTTCCAGTTGAAGTATAATATGTTCTGAAGATATAGTAGAGTAATTCAGATAACCAGATGAAAAAAAAAACAGTGGTATTTTGATCTATCCATTTATTCAAAAAAATTACTATTGGTAAGGAGTATATATGTATGAATAAGGTATCTCAGATTATACATATACCCACATGGTACATATTCATACAAATATTATGAATATCATGAATATTATTTTGGTTTGATAACGTTCAAGTGTTTTTTTTCCTGAATAACTTTTAATTTTTCTTTTTCAGGTTCAGGTACATGAAAGGCAAGGTCTATTAACTTCTATAAGGTTACCTCATAGTATAGCATTATGGTGCGGGGGTGCGCGGAGGGGCATGACGTCAGTGTTTCCCCACCACGTGATT